AGCCTTGTCAGGATCCTGAGGACACGTCTCAGTATCAGGGTCAGAAGAGGCACTGGTGTCCAACAGTGAGCAAGTAGTATTGATAAAGACGAAATACTGACCTGGTGTCCAACAGTGAGCAAGGAGACGCTCTGTGGACACCAGGGTTATATAGGTGAAAAGAAATAAGGTTTGGGAACTGTACAGTAGCTCGGAGTTCTCCATAGCAAGCCAAAGAGTAGAGAAAGGCGAAATAGGGGCAAAGTCGCGAGATACTGGAATAGGAAGGTGGTGGAGGTATAAACAAGACACAAGTAGAAGTATACCTCAACACACAATAGCTGAGTGGTTTCAGCGCTCTGGGCACTACCACAAGGCTCTAGGTTCAACTCACACAATAGGGCCTATGAAAGCTGTAAAGCATATCAAGGCCACTGGGCTGCTGTGCCAAGGACATAGGAATAATGCAGAGCTGCTGGGTGCACTCTGACAGGCACTTCCTGTTGGCCAAGGTGCAGTGCTTCTCCCATCTGATGGGGCTTGAGGCATTTTGATATGTTGTAAAAAGAAAAACAACAACAACAACAAAAGAGATACTAGCTAAATTGTAACATATTAACAGAATGGAACAAAAGGTGGGACACACAGGTAAGGGAGCAGGGCCTGGCTGTGTGACAGAACAATCATGGGGTCTGAATTGAGCATGAATCTGTATCAAGCACAAACATCTTTGCCAAATGTTAGAGTGGCACACCAAATTTTCAAGCTGGCACAATTGTTACTTACCTATGTCCATTGCATTTTCCTCAGACCAGTCAGTTGTTCTCTCAATCCAGCACTGGCCAGTGGCCATTCTGCTTGGTTCATTTCCTGCATTCATTACCCTTGAGATTTTCATGCACCCTTCCCCAGCATCACCCTAATCCCAACCTCAAGTGCCATAATCTACAAATGCCAAAGTCCAGCCTGTAGCACCCATGAACACAGCTGGCCTGCCCCACCCACAGCACTCATTGTCACCAACACAAGCATCCACTCATAGGTAAAAAGAACTGGACAGATAGTAACTATATGCCTCAACTAGATAGCCTAAACATCAGAACAAAAATGGAAACATGAAAGACAACAAGACATGCCAGCAGCATTTCCTTGGCCACATGCGTTGCAGAGATGTACTTGCTCCCGACAACCGAGAGCAAGATGAATTCCTGGCACTACGCGCTCCATGAAACAGCATTGCCGTTGATGAGGAACCACGTACCCAGAGATGGCACAACGATCCTTGGCCATGCTGCCGTTGGCATTGTCAAAGCCTATGAACTTGTGCATCTTGCCGCCATACAAGAGCTAGAGGCCGTGCGTTCCGCCGAGGTAGCAGAACACATGCTTCACAGCATCCCAGTGAGTGCACCTGGGGTTCAGCAAGAATCACGAGTGTTGCAACAGTGAATGTGATGTCCAGCCAAGTTGCCAGCAACGTGTACATGAGTGTGCCAACAGCCAGTAAGTCGCGCATCTCAGCAATCTCCTCTGTTGTGCTCAATGCCATGGCTGTGGTGAGGCGAGCGGTTAGTCCATTGGTGTGGAGTGGTCTGAGCTTGTCAAGGTTGAAATGCCAGAGGATGGACTTGATGCACAACTCTTGCGAGAGGTGGGCTCACCAGTTGCATTTGACCTCAATACCAACAAGCCAGTGCATTCTATCTGTGAAACTTTAGCATATTGGAATAGACAAGATAGTGAGCATGCACCCTCCAGACTTCACACTGACTGGTAAAGCGAGCGGACTGTGAGCAAAAACAACACAAAGAAAATAACAAAAAAGTAAAAAGTAATGAAAATTAAATGGAAAAAGGGGGGGAAAAAGGGAAACTACAACCAAAAGGAATGTAAGAGAGGGAGAATGTAACTCACCTGCAAGTGCAGTTCAAAATGTAGTATAAAGCTGTGAAAAGCAAGATATCAGCTAACAGGGAGGACTTGACTGTTGACCAGATACCTTCGTGCAAGGGCATTGATTGCAATGCAAAAGGGAGACTCACAAACTCTACAGCGGTATATATTGTGAATCAAAATGAGCACCAAGTTAGGGTTCAGGGGTGGCCCCATGACCGCATGTGAGGCAGTGCCCGTGTCTGCAACAGAAATAGCCTCAGCCAAACCATATCGAGAGAATGCTGTCTTAGGACACACCATGAACAAATCATGCTTGTATAGTACTGATTTGCCAGCTCCCTCTACAGCCTGTTGGTCCATCCCTCTCCCTCTATTACCCTCCCACCGTTGATGACTCATGTCCTGATGTATGGTCCATTTCCCCTTTTACCCACTACTGTGCCCACATGTTTGCATGCTTTGCAGACCTACCCCTATGCCCTCATTGCTTCTATGGCCCAGGTGTTGGTGGGACCACTGCTGCCCTATTCAAAATGGCCTTTGCCCCAGCTGGTGGTATGGGCAATACTGTTTATTCATCCTCCTGCTCACTGAACAAACCTTGTTTCTGATCAATGTCTTGAACACAGTAGAAGTCAGTATCAGTTGACTGATCTAGCCTTTACAGTGCAATCCATAGATGTTTGATTTGACAACTTGCAGCCAGCTAGTGCTGATGGAGCAGCTCAGCTAGATTTTCACAATGTCATTTTTGATATATTGTATAACTCTGCTAATTTCTCTACCTTGATCTGGACAGACTTAGAGAAACAGAATTTGACTGTTTTAACCCGATATATATTGTATACCACTCTCCTGCATCTCAACAATGAGGCTTTTAAATTTGTAACTGTATTTGCTTTTGCATCTCTAATTAACAGCACTGACCTGATTCTGTCTTTTTATTATTATAAACATCTGCATTTTTAACACTCTTCTGGGGTTCCAGCAGACAACATCAAATGGCTTGTGTCTGATGTCTGGCCATGTGGTGGAGTCCACTCATCCCTCCCTCCCTTCACCCATAGTGCAAGAAAACATCACAGGACCCCAGTGCGCAAGTGAGCTGGGGGAGCCAATTGCTACTTCATTGTAGAACAATGAGGATCTGCTCAACTTAGAAGCTGAGGAAGCTGGGTCTTCCAAAGACTTGGAGTTGGTGTGAGGGTGAAGGGGATTGGATTGGATTTGAGTGATGTGAAATGTGGCAACCAAAGTAGGTTTCCTGGAGTGCCATCTACTGTGATTGTGACTTATGTTTGGTACAGCATGGGACCATCATTCTGGGTTGTCTGATACCAGGTTGTTCATACAGATCAACAACTCCCCTTGTCTGGTTGACAGGCTGCTGGCCAACCCAGATGATGACTATGTTTCAAGCTTTGATGATATCTCTTCTACTGTTGATGTGATAGAGTTGGATAATAGCAGCACTGGATTTGTGATGTCTCATTGGACAGCACAAATTTGGACAGAGTCCTGGTCTACAAGCAAGTAGGTTTTACTTTGTGTCATAGTAGCTGACACCTTGTATATAGATTACAAGCATTTTTTCTATTTTATATGCACACTGCGCTTAATAGAGCTTTTGTGCCTCACTTTGGAAACATGTTTGATGTGAGCATCAGCCTGAGGCCTATGGCAACAAATAGTTAATTCATTTCAGCAATTGAGGTTATGTGAGTACATCCTATGTCTAAAAATACTTGTCTGCAGCCCAGCATAAACAATATAAAACTTCTCTGTCCAGGGCAGGCACAGAGGAGTGTTGTCTGAATGGCAGACATTGACATGGATGTAGATAGCATTTGGGTGTGTATATGCACCCTCTATTTGTGTACTCTCTGCACAATGGAGTGCATATTATTTAGATGGGTTGCTGAGCACTAAAATGAGTGTCAGTAAACAGCATTGTTGTGACCCACAGGGATGAGTACTTACTGGGCTGCACCTAGAGGCAAGAGAATTGTTGAGAGTATGGATTCAGACAATCATTGTAAGATGAAACTGAGGGAGTACTCATAACTGGGATGGTAATTTTGAGTGAATTATGTGGAGGCTAACTGTTGTTGTGCAAGTTGAAGGGAGAGGTCTGGGCAGATGATACTCATATACAGTAGTAGTTGTAGTTGTTGTGATTTTAGTCTTAATGACATGCCACAACATAGTTGTCATATAGTCAAAGGGACACTCCCTGTTGGCAGACACTGGCAGGTAGGAAAGGGTGACACAAAACAAGAGCACACAATCATGTCCAGATCACAAATATTCAAAAACAAAATGGTGTGACCATGTTTTTGCCTCTGGGTAGAAATAGATTGACATGCTGCAGGTCCCCATTGTGATTTTCTTGTGCAAGTTGCTAGCACAGACCCACCAAATGGAACATTTCCAATCAAACCTTGAAGATGGTTTAAATATGCACTGGGATGATCAACAAAGTGTTGTCCATGCAAAATACTGCAAAAAATGTCCTGCCTATCTCAAAAGCTCATAAGTTTTTTCAATACTCCATCTGAATCATCTCCTCCTCAGGCTCTCTCTCAAGGCCTTTCAAATACAGATTTTCTCTGCTTAGCTATGTCTTGAAGACAAGGATGTTGACTATCTTCATTTGCTTCATTTTGGCCTTGAGGTTTGGCATACCCTTGCAGATGATCTTGACAGCCCTGATGGTAGTTGTTATACAAAAACATTGCTAAAGGTATACTTACAGAGCAATAGGTACAGGTAACTTACTCAAAATGGAATAAATGTCAAACACATCCAAAAACTAGAGTTACATGTTGATATACAGCTGATGAAAAATGTAACTCACCTGTGGATCTGGTTTCTGCCGTCAGCCCCCGTTTTTGCCCTGGCATTTCATTGCTGACTTCCACTCCCCACTGTTTGCAGACCCTAGCTAGGAAATTTGTTGATCTACCCACTGCCATGCATATTAACGGACAAGCCCACAATCAAGCGGCTCTGCCTGCCCCCACTGGGAATATTCCTATTGCCAGTTCCAGTTCTGGCTCTGGCATACCGATGTCATCCTCCATTGACCCTCTTGAACGTCTCCTCATGCCTCAAGCTGAGGATACTCAAGACTTCCAGTATCTCAAAGGTTGTTTGGAATGGTTGGACATCCGCACTGAGGAAAAAATTACCAGCATGGCGAAGTTAAACCAATTTCATTTGTCAGAATTCCTTGCCCTGCTCCATATTAGCAAGTCAGAAGTATTTCTTTTTCCGAGTGTTTTATGTCATTTATCTGATCAGCTACGCTGTGCCTCCATAAGCACACAGCTGCTTTCCCCCTTTCTATAATATCTAACCTCTGCTGCTTCAGGTTTCTTCCAGAATGATGTTTACGCATGCGCACGATAGTTTTAGTAGGGTTTGTCATGATACCTGTCATTAATGTAGGCTGATTGTGTAGCTGGATATGTCAAATTCATGTGCACAACAGTACTAGTTCATTTCTGCAAATTACTGAACATTACTTTGACACATTTGGACCACAATGTTGCAAATTCCTGCTAATCCACTGCCTAGGTCAATAATGTCAAGCTTGCAGCTTGGCGGGATGTCTTTTGTATGTGTTCTGGAAACCTGCAATTACAATATCTCTTTGCCCTGCAAGTGGGACAATGAGCTTTGTGTGAAATGTTCCTAGACACTTGCACACAAAAAATGAAAGGAAAAGAAATTCATTGTGGGTATTCTCATGTTTAGTTTGGAGAGAAGTGTTAACCATTGAATGCTTGCATTGCAGAGATATATATGTGACTTAGACTCTCACTAACGAACTGATGGACTAAAGTATCCCCAGGGCTGCTCAACTTGTAGCATGAGGGTGGTTGAAGGGGAACTGCAACACTTTTGAACACAGGCTCAGCACTTCATTGGGGTCAAGAGCTCACAACATAGCAAGTTAGTCCATCAGTTTCAAAAAGTAAGGTAAGATATGTGGATATACCTTGGCAACAACACTATCCTGCAGCAAGACATAGTGATGGAAGGTACAGTATCAGGACTGTTCAAATTCAGGACTGAGGTTTCTACCTCACGATGTTCTCTGTAGTGCTCTACATCGTATTTAGTAATGAATTCTGAATCTTGTCTCTGCCAACCCAAGACTGTAGTCAGTCACCAAGAATTGGTAAAGCTAGTGTAACGGACAGAAACACTCACCACCGGTTGACCAGCGTAATTACACTACTTGATTTGTTCAGTTAACTCAACTTCGTACATCTTGATTCTGGTCGAATCAGTCTCAACAGCTGAGATTGAATTTTAGGTTGCTAGGTTCCTTTCATCAAAACAATGATAGTTTACATTCCTGCCAGCAGCGTTCTTTCTTCACTGGCCTGATCCATTGCCAGCCCGCTATGTGGTTGTGTATGACTCCTTCCTGCCAGCAGGCGAAGAAATAACTATGCATGGGGAAAAACCTGACTTCAATAGCTACAATCAAAGACTCAAGCATGTTCAAACACTGCGTAACTAGGCTTTTGTTGATGTTCTGAAGGGGCGCGGGAAGCATTCTTTGGAAGATTTCATGATCTCATCATGAATAGTGAGTTCTTGAAACCAAGACATAATCACTTAACCCTCACCCTAGTATATGGCTGTATACTCTGGTGCCATTAGCATACCTCATTCTCCTGATGCCACATACCCCGACAGTGATACCTGAGCTTGGTAGGCACAAGTTCCTCTGACCTCCATACACCACATATGCTGCTTTTGAGTCAAAGAGAAATTGTTTTGAAACTGAAGCAAGTGGCTATTCATCAGCGCGTACCTTCCAGATGATTGGGAAGATTCGCTTGCAACATTCCATAATCAAACCTTTCATTCTTTCAAATGCAATATGGAGCGTATCACTGAAACACAAACAGTGAATCTCTCAAATGATGATGGCATCAAAGCTGAAAGATAGGGACCAGGGTTGTGGTAATAGCAAGGGAAAAGAGGACCCTCATGACTGCTGAATGGCAGGAAAGCCTTCCCTGGGGGCTTGTGTCTCTTTGCTGCAATGAACACTTCTGCTGTGCTTGGCGGCCTTGCTGGCGGAGTCCATACCCCTCCCTCTTCACCCGTGGAGCCTAAACATCCAGATGATGGTCATGGCCTGATTGCTGGTTCAAAGGTATTATCTATAGTTGAGTTGGCTTAGGTTGGCTTGCTGTTGGGGTATGTTGATACATATGCTTATACCTCTGCTGGTATTTGATTCCCACCATCTTACTACACTTGCAGATCACCTCTACCAACCTCAACTCCTGGAATTCAAACAGTCATTGACATCCCGGAGTTCCTGCATGCAAAAAAATGAATCATGCATTCTACGTAGAATTTCATCACTTGGCTGAGTTTCTACAAGGAAGCGGGTAGCACATGACATATATCACTAGTAGTTAGTTGTTGAATTGTATGCCTGACCTGAATTGTTGAGATTGCTGCCTTGCAACGAGTCTGCATGGGGTGAAAAAACGCGCAAGTTGAGCAAGGAAAAGTTTGATTTTTGGATGGTTGCCAATTACACCTTGGCTGAAGCACTGACAGCCGTGGCCACATGGTATGTGAACATCTTGCTTGAGGCCTGGGCCTGAGGCGGCCCGGGCAAGCTCAACTTGGACTTGCTTGAGGCTTTGCAAATGGATGTTGCAGGCTCCGCACTTGCTGCACTCCAGAAACATCCCTCAGTACATTTGTTATTACTGTTGAAGGTACACCTGCACCTCAACGTACGCCAGGACACAATGCCCCCAGATTTAGGCTGCAGACTTCCAGCACTTTCTCAACCTATCATTCTACAAATCCTACGCCTTTGCCAATGCAAGAAATGCAAAAATCTAGTTGACATTGACCCTGATGGTTGGACGGTCACTGGGAAGTATGTTGGGAAAAAGGAGTATGAGGACCATTGGACTCTAGACAACATCTGCACAACTGCAGGCACAGAAGTACACACCTCCTTTGATGTTACATCTAATTCTCTGCATGATCAATCTACAGATATAAGGCACTCCAATTTGGTACTGCCTTCCCCAGCTTTGAACGCACTTCATGGCCAGAATCCAGAAACACAAGATTCCAGAACAACAACTTCACCAAACTCCACCCTTTTACAGATCTTGAATAAGCTTTGGCAACGGCTTGACCACAAGCGCAAGCGATTGTCCAGTACGAATAAGAACAACCTTGTTTTCATCCATTTGCTTTTGTTGTCCCAAACCATCCCTGATATCCAAATCTCAGATTCAGTTGTTGTTTTCAAATTTAACACTGGACCATTCACACTTTGTCCCAAGAGCGAGGAAAACTTCTTGGTTTTGAGTTACGAAGAATGGGTTTTTCAGTCTCTCCTTATTGCCAAGAATGACCTCAGCCACGAAGAAGTAAATGTCAAATTGTGAGCCCAAGTCCTTTAAATCACTTTGACAAAGGAGTTAGACATATTGAACTCTTTGAAGCACCAGGTCTGGGTCAAGCATTGTAATCACCTTAACAAAAAATTCTGTAGGATAGAAATCTCCACAGGTATGCCCTTTGTAATGCTGTTTGTTTGGATATATTGATTGATGGATCAGTAGAGCATTATTTCAGTACTTTCCAGCTATTCCATCCTGTGAAACTTGCATGTTATGTTCTAGTCACAGTTCTGCATTTACTCTGTCACATGTCTCTATCACGTTGCTCCTTCTTCTTATCCATGCTTGGTTTGGTTGTGAAGCTGTCAAAGGGATCAGAAGATGGCAACCAAGGTCAGGCCGTGGAGCTTCCCAAAGATCCACAAACTATCATAGCAGCCCTACTCATCTAACCAGCTACAAAGTCATACATCTGTCACCCTCAGTGTTACTTCTGCTACAATCAATATGATTACCCTGTGCGCTGTACTCATCAAGAAACGCTGACCAGCCAAATTTGTGGACAATTGTTGCAAAAGCAAAAGTGCAATGATTGCCATAGCAATTCCACACCTGTTGAGATATCTGCTGAGGAGCAGTCCGAAGATGTCAATTCCAATGCACCTAATTCAAAGCCCAGATTTGTTGAAACTTGCTCCTCAACTTCTCCCTTTTGGTGCTCCCTGGTCCAGGCTTTAGCTTCAAGTACAAGCATGGCTCCTTGACAACAAAGTGGCAAACAGAATACATTCAGTCTGACAGGCCAATGTACCAGGTGTTCCTGAAGCCACAGTCTATACTGTGACCAGTACTCAACAACCTTGGATGTGTTGTCTGAGTCCAGGTTGTACCATACAGACAGTGAGATTTGGTCCTTGGACTTCAGACCAAGGTAGCAAGCATATTTTGGATGGACCTTCTTCAAAGTTACTGGACTGTCTGATGTCTGGGGAGTTGCTTGCAGTTTTGCCTTCTGGATGAGAGGAACTTCTACATAGACTGACTGGAGCATGCTGAAATACATGCTGGGGGTGATGGTGAAAACCAATAGTACTGAACTGGATGTGGATCCAGCCAATAGATGTGCTGCAGTGTTGTTATTGTCATTGTCATCCAATAACAAGTTTTGTTATGCCACCAGATGGAGTCATCAACCAGCTGCCACCACCTCTTACTACCCACACTAGACAGATCCTCAAAGCTGGATAAAATTTAAGCCAAAGGCAGTGCTACAAAATCTGGACCAAATGAGAATATGGGTGGAGCCAAAAAGATTGAATGAGAGGTGGGTGCAGGGGCAATCCTTCTCTGCCAGCATCATGTCCAAAACTATCAATGACTAGAAATGTGTCAAGCCTCAGTTGTTGTCAAAATTAGATAAAGCTCTCAAACTGTTTACAAGTTCTTTCTAACATGAGGTTGAGCCAAATGCTAAAGTATTGAAGGAAGGTGGGAGCCTATGGAGGGGGTAGAACAACCTGGCATGGGATATTAGTGGGATATAGACAGGGATTGAATATTGAGATGAAAGTCAAATAAAATACCTTTGCAGGCTGTAACAGTATGGATGAGGTGATGCAATATAGTAGGGTAGGAAAACTGGGAAGTGAGATGAGATGTTGCCCAGCAAGGACTGGTCAGGCATGTGCATCTGGGTCCTCTGATTGGTTAAGCCTGCTTCCTACCTGTACATTTGGCTGCATCAGCCAGATTACATAAACAGACATATTGTGTAAGTTTGAACCATGCTGCATGCTTTCCTTTGTTGTGTTTGTGTCATACCTTGTCTGTTACATTTTACACTCCTGCACCCCTGTCTGACCTTTTTGTCTGGATGACAGACCTTGGCAATGACCACTGCAAGAGTATTTGGTGCTTATTCATCCCTTGGCTCCAGTACAGTGTCAAGGAGCACTAACTGGTACCTCTTAATCTGTGCACAAGATGTGTTGAATGCATATAACCATGAGTGACTTAAAATAGAATGTACCAAGCAAAACTGAGTTGACACACTCAAAAGCATAGTGAATGTTGGTTGGGTTAGTGCATCATGCATCAACGGAGTTGCAATAATGGAGACTGATGATATATATACTCTGTGGAAACATAGAAGCTGAAGTAATTGCAGCAGAACACTAAGTGTTCCTCAATGGTAAGCAACTCAATGGCCATGGAAATGAGCAGTTGCTCAATAATTAACCCAGCTTCACATAGAGTTTATGTATAAAAGTGGTATTGCCAAAGAAAATGTTGGATGTGGCAAAACAGATGCTCATTGACACATAAAGATGTAGTTACTGTGGATTGTCAGAGAGATTATGGAATATGACAATGCCATGGGTTGTCTGCTCAGCAGCAAGGAATGGGACTATGATATTGAGAATTTCAAAGATGCAGGTGACAGATATTGGATGCTTCAGATGCTCTCAGGAACTGGTTGGGGATCAAGGTATGGAAGCATAAACAAAAGGCCTTTTTTGTTTTCCAGATGTTGATTCATTGCATGAATCAGGAAAGGTGCCAGAATTTAATAGGAGGGCCAGCTTAGAATTAACTGCATGCAACACCGTCAAAGATTTGCAGCCCATGGTTTTCACATGCAAGTACACCCAGGCATATCCAATTTAAAATAATGAAGACAAGGATGGAGACAATAGATGAGTTGTCAGGGAGCATGATGCGAATGGCATCACAAACAATGACCTCAACAGCCACATAAATAGTGGCAACAAAACTCATGCCATGAACATTGATACAATGTCTACCTTACACATTCAAAAAATTGTTCACATAGTCTGATATGTGAGTGGATGTTTTTCTTTAAATTACATAATTATATAACTAACATTATGTGGCAGCAAACACAGGTGCTCCTCAGAAAAATGTGGCTAAGATGCCACAGGCCAAGCAATGGTTATTACGTGCCCCTGTACCTGTGTCAATTGCAAGTACATCACAGGCCACTGTGCTTGTTTGGGTGAATGCAGTACCCTGTTTCATGGGCTGTAATAATGGTCTAAATATATCAATTAGACCAGCACCATCTCAATAAAGTAATAGCCACTACAACAAACTTGGAGACCAGCTAGCTCTACAGTAGCAGTACATTTTGTGGAGTGATTATGATTAGCAGCAGAGTGTAATGTCCTGTGTCTTTGACTGGGACAGTTTATTGGCAACATTGGTGGCATGGGCTTGCCAGGTCTAATTTAGCCCTGTGAGAAATCTTGGGTGGGTGATCTTACTTACTATCTTCCAGTGTTTGCCAGTCAAAGAAAAAAAAATTCTGCAGAAAAATCATGTGCTTTTGCATCTGATTGAAAAGCTGAAGAGTGGGACAAGACAAGTTATGACTCATGAATGGTTGGATACTTGCTGGTGACTCAATATTTCCTGGATAGACTTGTGTTAACTTGGCTGTGTGTAAATAACTATCATTGGAATTGGAATGAAGTGGTGGTACCCGGAAGGGCTGGAAAAGTCAAAGGCACGTGACTCCGGCACTCCTTTTCAGGCCAGACACACAAAGAGCAAGGTGGCACCACCTTTTGTTCTGTGTCTTCCACCTCACTTGTTTTCCGTGTTCACCTCTTCAAAACTTGCTCGCTCTTCTCTTGGTTAGTGGATATCTTGCACTACCTCCTTGTTGTGCTCCTTCTGCAGTTGACCTCTCTCCCCTGGATTCCAATGGTTCTGCCAACCCCTGGGGCTCGGTGGAGCATGAGGGTGCCACCCGGTGCCACATTTCTATGGATTCGGAATGTGAGCAGCCCCTGGTTAAGTGCTCCAAGGGCAAAGTGAAGGAGGTGGCCCCGGTGCCGGTGCCGGTGGCACCTTTGGCCCCCCAGCTCATTGTTCACCTTCCAGCCTGCTCCCCTGGTGCTCTGCCCCCCTGGGTTCCTCTACCCATACCAGGTGTCAAAAACACCTCTTGCTAAACCTAACTCAGACAAACAACGCATTATTTATCGCATTCGTTTTTGACATGGCCAGGCTTTGGCCCTATCTATTACATAAGCAGGCACATGACCAAGCACGTGATGGGTCTGGACCATGACATCATATGACGCAAGGATCACACAATATGGTGTGCTTGTATTACTAAGTACTTGTATTCCTAATTAGGCAGGAGCCCTACCTTTAGTTACATGGTCTGTGCGCAGCTGTCCAGTAGTATATAAGACTGCAATCAATGACCCAGAACTCCAAGAGAGTTCTTTTGGGATTTCCCCTTAGCTCTATTCGCAAACCTAAGTCTCAAGTCCTCTTGTCGAGGCATCTACTTCTGCCCAAGCCCCATCTAGGGTTAGGGTTAGTCTTTCTCATTACCATCTCTTCCTGTTCGTGTGTGCAGTGACTCCCCTAGTTAAGGGTTGCTCACACCAGGTCCTGCCTCTCCTCTGCCCCCCCACTCTGGATGTGTCTGGCACTTCTGACACGGGCACTCAGGTGCTGCCTCCCACTGAAGACTGGACAGCAGTTCTTGCGGAACTGGACCTGTCATCTTGCCAGGCGATCATCTCTGCCTGGCAGGCCTGGGGCCTGACCATCCCTTCCAGCTTTGACATGCCCCCTGCTCCTGCTCTTGTTTGCAGTAAGTTCCCTGTTCCTGCCCCTGCCCCATCCATTGTGTGCTGGGGAGGGTCTCGGTTGAGGGTGCCCAGCCTCAGCTGGGGCCACGTTCCACTCCCTGCTTGTCACTCTTTGTGGGTGTGCACCTCTGTGTACAGCCACCCCCACTCCCCCACTTGTGCTGTTCCTGTTCCTGCACTGACCAGTTGCTGCCTTCCAGGCCTTCTTTCTCCAGGTTCCTGCATTGCCATGCCAGGCACTGGTGAGGTGGAGGTATTGGCCACAGCCTCGTCCTCCTTGATGGGCATGGTTTGCTTACTTCTCGCCTTTCTGGGCTAGCTGACGGGCAGCTCCCTTCCCTTCCCTACCCGCTGAAAGTCATTACAACAATCAGGGTGGGTATGGTGTCTCACGTTCTCCTCACCATGCTCACCAATGATGCCCTGCGGGGTCTCTGGGGCTCACAGTCAGTGGAGCACCGGGTCAAGATCTTGGACACTGTCGTGCTGATGCTGATGCTGATCTCCTGGGATGTGGATGGGGAGGTCTCCCTGATTTAGGATCAGTGGCTTGAATTGTCCCCTCGCCTCACTCATCTCATGTGTCAGTACCTGCAGGGTCCTCACAAGGTGGTCAATGCTATTGTTGACTCCTGAGAGAAGCACGGGCGGATGATCCACAAGCATTGTGATTTCTTGAGTGCTGCTCACTGGCCAATGTTCCGCAACTACAACATCCATCTCCGCAAGGCCTTTGCTGCCCAGGAGTTGTTCACTCCCGGGGTCTGGCAGGACAGCATCTGAAACAACATTGTCCACACTTGGCACATCAAGGCATTCAAGCAGGCTCAGGCCTTCTTGTTGGCTGTTTCTACTGTGTTGCACTCTGCGCCTACTTCTTCTTCCTTGGAAGGGGGGGTCGTCCTCCAGCCAGTCCTTTCAGGTGGGCAAAGTGGTGAAGCCATTTGACAACGGTGGCTCTACCCGGGCCGCTCTTGCTGCCTCGGGCACTCAATGCTGCATCTTCTGCAAGTCCACCAGCTGCTCCAGCTGTTCTTGTGGTTCCAAGTCTACCCTGTTCCTCACCCTCCGAGATGATGGCAAGTGGAAGACAGCTTCAAACAAGTCAGTTTGTTTCACCTTCAATGGCGCTGTGGGGTGCACTCGCTAATCCTACAAATACCTCCACGTCTGTGTTTACTGTGGCTCAGGTCACTCAGTGCAGGCTTACCCTTGAGCGGGGCATGCTCAGGGTGGTTACCCCCCTCCTCTGGCAGGAGTAGGTGGTGGCCCTTGATGAGGCTGATATCCTCAACAATTTTGCAGATATTCCCTTTGGCCTTTGGGATAGCTGGCACCTTGGCATCAGTGAGCTCCCCCTTGTTCATTCTTTCAGTCCAGACAATCATGCCTCTTTCCTCGACCATATCAATTTTCTCCTCGAGTACATAAATTCCAAGCTCAGTGCGGGGCACTGTTCCGGTCCATTTACGTGCGACCAGCTAGAGTCTCTCATCAGGCCCTTTTGCACTGGCCCTCTCAGTGTCATTCCCAAACCTGGTCCCTCCAAGTTTTGCCTTGTTCAAGACCATTAATTCTCTTGTAATGATCCTGCCAATCCCTCTGTTAATTCCTGCATTGACTCCTCCCTTTTTGAGTGCGACTGAGACACTTTCTCTGACTGCTGGCTCCTTGTTGCCAACGCACCACCCGGGACTCAGGTCTTGATGAATGATGTGGTGGTGGTTCATTGCTGTTCCCTCATTGCTTCCGAGGATCAACTGTATGTGTGCGTGTGCTTGGACGTTGATGGCTCTTCTTGTTTCTATATTGATTATTGTGGCTGTTTTGGGTGCACCAGCTCCAGCGGGCTTTTTGGGTGCCCAGGCAATGCCATTGTTATCATCTACAGGTCTGCAGTGTGGACAATGTCCTCAAGTGGGCCAACAATTTCTCTTTCTGGTGTTATCCCATCTCTTCATCTGCATGTGGCCCTTAAACCTACCATTACAATGAATTCCTTATCTTTGCAGTTGCGCAGGTGTTCGGTTGGCCTTGGCCCCCTCCAAACACATTCATTTTGCTTTCAACTTCATGTACCTTGGGTTCACCTGGGACCTTCCTGAGAAATTGGTCTCGATTCTGGCTTCCAAAAAATTAAAATATCTTGCTTGTCTCGCGCCCTGGGTTTCCAGTGCTCTCTTCTCCCTGAAGGAGTGCAAGGGTGTCATTGGCTGCCTTAATCATTGCACTTTAGTCCTCTCTGACGGCTGGGCATGCCTCCCTTTCCTCTACTGGTTCCGTGCCAAATTTGGCTCCAACCGGTTTGCTCATCATTGCCCCCCGTCTGCAGTCTTGGATGACGTTGGTTGGCCATGGCATCAACAACTCTCCCTCAATTGGTGTGGTGTCTGCATCTTGGTACCTCCTCCTCCCCTTCCTCTGTGTGTCTTTGTTGAAGCCTCCACTTCTTTCAGTATAGGTCTTATGGTAAACAACCAGTGGCTTGCTTGGTCTTTCCTGCCTGGTTGGAAGATGGAGGGGAGGGACATCAGCTGGGCTGAGATGATGGCGATTAACCTCAGTCTCTGCTCACTTGTTTTGGCCAGCTATCACAACTGCCACATTCTCTTTTGTTTGGAAAATCAGGGAGTTGTGAGTGGGCTGAAGGCAGGCTGATCTCACAATACCACCCAGAACTTTGTTCTGCGGCACATCATTTTCGCTATGTGTTCCTCAGGCATTTGGCTGTCGGTGGAGTGGTTGCTGTCGGCGGAGAACCTGGCTGACAGACCTTCTTGGAGTGTCACACCAGCTCTTCATTGTTTTGGTTTCACTCCATCCATTCCATTCTACTTGAAGCAATTTGTATGCCTGTCACTGTAGCTGTAGCTTATAAATGCAGGCCCTTTGGTGTTCCATTTTTCTCTGCTGTCTGACCATCTCCATCTCTATCTTGCATTTCTACTATGGCGGCCCTGGCTCTCCAGCTTTCCTGCACTGCTTAAAACAAGCTGGTCTGGGCCCTGGATCATGCCTGGGCTGATTCCACACTGCTTAAATACCAGGGTGCAGTCAACACGTTCCCGAACTTCTGTTGGGTGAAACACCTCCCCTACTTGGCCATCTTGCCCGCATCTGAGCACTTCCTTTGCACATTCTTGGCCTCCCGGGCAGGCCAACTGGCGGGCTCCACAATGTGTGGTTACATCTTGGCTCTGAAAGCCTGGCACACTTACAACAATTGGCCATGGTTTGGCTCTGTGCACCTCAACTTTGTGCTTAATGGGATTGAGAATCTCACCCCATCCTCCTCTTGTCACTTGCTGTGCCTGTCCATTACCCAGGACATGCTTGGGGTCTTGGCATCAACCTCTCCCCTTCTCCCACTTTGACATGGTGGTGCTGGCCACTGCTACTTCCGCGTTCTACATGCAGTGCTACCTGGGGGGGATTTTGTCCCTTTGGAAGGCCAACTTTCCAGCAGAGCACGTCGCTCTAGCCTCGCACCTGGCTGCTCCAATCAATACAAACTGGTCGTGGAAACTCTTCCTGCCCTTCACAAAGGTTGCAAAATCCTGGGGCAAATTTGTCTTTATCTGCTGCCAGCGCAGGGTGTCTGTTCCTGTGGCAGCCCTGAATCACCATTTGGCTCTGAACGCGCCACTGGATTGCCTTCCACTGTTTTTCTACAGGACGGTGGCAGGCAGCTGGTGCTGCATTACAAAGCATAAACTGCTGGCGTGGTGTAACACAATCTGGAAGGCGGCGGGCCACACCTTCTGCATCAGTGACACCACTGAGCTGCTCCTGGCTGGGGTCCATTCTGACAAGGTCAAAACCATGGGCTGCTGGTCCTCAGATGCATTCATTTGGTACTGGCACTCCCTCGAGCTGCTCACACCCCTTCACACTGAACTACTCACTCCAGCCACTTTGCTGGTGGCTCACTCTTGCATGTCTTAGGTCAGCTGGCTGGCCTGCCTTGTGGGTTGGGTGGGGGTGGCACACGCTCCGTTGCGTCTCCTGCGGCTGTGCCTGCCTCTGGGTTGGGGCTGGAGTTGCTCTCCGGTTCACGCCGCACCCTCAGACAGTTAGTGGTCTAGTTCTGTGGCTTACATCAGCTGCACCGGTCAGCTTCCCACCTCACCCATCACACGGGCTTTGATGACACAGTTCCATTCTAGTACCATACCCTATGCCCTTACAAGCAGTATATACATTCACTACACACTGTTTTAACCCCACATGTGTGATCAACAAGATTGAGAAGTTAGTTGACAAGCTCTAATTGATCTGATCTTATGGATTGTGCATAAAAAGGCTGATATAGTGTGTAACAATGGGAGACATGCTCAGTAATCTTGAAGGCCAGTGGTAAGCTCCATGGTAGTAACTTGAGATGTGGTCAGTCATACCATTTAAAACATACAATCTAGATCTTTGTAGAAGATACTTATATAAGGGAGCCATGCATGAACATTGCATGTGTTGTGTTGTTTCAATGTCAAGTACATATAAGAAGATACATGTAAATGAAGCTTGAACACACTGCAACAGTTTCCCTTACAATATACAACATATATTTATATATACATTCAGTTGGCTGCATTGGTGCCACATACTATGTTTTCAATCTGTTCATGACTTATAATGATTTCTATCCTTTGTAAAATTTATGGCCATGAGCATTCCTCAAAATGATCAGCAAAATGTGTGGCTTATTTGGCCCATTTTTACTCCCAAGCTAACAGGGGTAACATTCACAATGAGTGTCATCATACATGCTCAACTTGGAGTATTGGTCTTCTAACAGGAGAAACTGCTGGATTTTGGTGTGGACCCAGAGGGTCTAGATTTAACAATGTTCCTCTTCTCCCTCCTCTTCTATATTACTTTGAGACATTTATTCAACACCCTGAAATCTCAATAAAATAATGAATCCTAAATCTTATATTGACATTTACTACTCTTGAAACAATACACACATTCCCTTTGATTAATGGTCCTTGCAAACTTCTTGCAATTCAAAGTTGATTTTACCATCACATTTGTCTTAACTATAAAAACTCTGCAATAAAGTGGTTTTTTTATGATGGCACCATAAAAGATGCTCAATTTTCAAGCTGGACAGCATGTATTTCCCCACTGTGGCCTAAGACTTTCAAGGCAGCACTTGATGAATACCTACTTATATCTTAAATTCACCAACTACAGAGGTCCTAGCAGTATCTGTCAGACTAGTTTGTAATGGGTATATTAGCTGGGCATGCTTTGCCAAAATTTTATACACAGTTTTTGGAGATGTAAATTGTCAGTAGCATATTGCAAGCTCGCATTGATGCCCCATAGCTGTCTCCTTCCCTGAGAATTTACTCTTTCCCAAAGATTTCCTCTTTCTCACTGTGTAGCAGCAACTGTCAGAGTTTCAACAGTATTCTATTTTCATGTCTCTACCACTCATGGTGTTCAACCCTCCCATGTCTGGCTGGCTGCAGCGCTATTCCTCTTTGCAAGGATCCAACCTGGCACAGCTGACTCTACAATGTTTCCCACAATTTCTTCATTCAACAATGTGCTCCTAAACTATGTTCAAGATATCTATGTCATGTTTTACAGCTGGAAGATCTTGACTGGGACATTTGTTTGGTTGGGTCTTGTCACGAGCGTGCACCCGTGTACCCTAGTCTGAAGTACTAGTTGGTATCTACATAGTCTCCTATAAGAGGGACTGCCTTTGAGATTATAAACATAGTGTATACAGAACTATAGTAATGGAGCGGAGTGAAATGGAGGTGGAGTGTAGGCAACAAGAGGTAATGGAAGGGAACAAAATGGGACTGGAGGGAAATGGAGGTGTATGTAGGTATAGCATAACAAGTGATATAAAGAAACAGGAGTACAGGAACTTAAGCAGAGTGCTCTGAGGCTGCAGAGCTGAAGTACTGGAATACTGGAGTAGCCTCAAAGATGAGTTGGAGGTTCAGAGTTGACACAGAATTGACACAGAGGAGTACAAACAAGTATGGGAGGATATGGAGGAGTCTGGAGTGGGGACTGGAGTATACAAGAATTGAAGTTGATATTCAGACTGAAGTACACTAGCCTATACAGAAGGGTTTATATACTACAGCCTAAGTATGAAGTTATAGTAATTGGGTGAAGGGGGGTGTAGCTCAGCTATGAGGTACAGAAGTAGAATGAAGGGTATGATGTAGGAGGTGTTAACTATGATATCAGAAACACAAGGAAACAATGCGGGAACAATGTAAGAATGTCATGGGGAATGATACATGAAGTAAAGGTGAGGATATTGTTAAGGGGAATATACTCAGAACATATAGTGAGGTTGAGGGTTAATGATGTAGATCCTTCAGAGGTTTTGGAACTGGAGTTGACACAAAACTGAGTGGAGGTGTCTGGAGGTTCCGGAAATGTTCAGATCTAGTGTTTGTAGGCATGGTGCATGACAGGTCTCATAAAACATCAGGTGGAGGGTATGAGTCACTTAATTTGGTAGTGATTATCTGACAAGGAGCATTGTATATGACAACAAGCTCAAGTTCCATGGTATGGAGATTATTCATTGCTGCAAGACAGAGCCCACTAAAAAAGCATACAAATACAATGGTGTTGGGATGATTTTCAACTTTGCATTCAGACAGCATGTGTCTACTCTTGCAAAAGCTATGTTCAGATGACTGTCCATGCAGCTAGGGGTGTATTTGATTCATTTATTATGGACTTGCTCAATCTGTAGTTAATGCATTTAAAGTGCTACTTTTGTAAATAAAAAAAAAAAAAAAAAAGAAGTTACTAATAACTTATTTTGATTCTTAAAATAAAAAACATACTGCTTGGAACTGAATTGAAAACCACACAATGATCTAGGCTTGGTGGCTGAAAGTTAGAGTAGCCCTGGATTTGATAAATTCCAAAGATAGCTTGTACCCATGAACATTTATAATTAATGATATTGCTATATCAGTACATTAATACTTAACAACAGTATTTACTGGTATTTGGATCTAGCCACCTTGTTCTGACAGAAACAAACTAGCTTGTTGGCATCTGTTGCCCATCAGCCATTTTTAGGAACATGAATTTTGTAGAAGTGAGACTACACACCTTGTCCCAACAAGGCCAGGAAACACAAAAAATATAGCAATATTTTTCATAAAAGCCTGCCCACTGCTGCGGATCTTGTCCTGAAAGGAGTTATGATTGCCTGAAGCGCTACCACCACTACTTTAGGTACTACAGTTCTCATAAACACTGCCATTATCACTGCCTTGAAAACTTTCTCTACTCTCATCACATAATACCTGTGGGTGACTAGGAGTAACCAATTTTTCTTTCAAGGCCTGCAAAGGGATGTAACTGAGTGATATTGGTGTTGTGGACACAACAGGGGCGACACTCTAAACTCCTGAACAGCTCCAAAGCTTCGGAGGAGGTCAGAGGTAGGCAGAACAGAGCAGAGCGTAGGAGCATGGAAGCGTAGGCGTACAAGTGGCCAAAACCACAAGGCTAGGTGGTAGAGGATCTCAACAAGTGCCGGCGGTGAGCACAAAAGCACTAGTCCCAATGACCAAGTCAATAAAGCATGTTATCTACTACAAAGTAAATGTACACCTAGTCCCAATGACCAAGAGGTTGAGATGAGGGACTAGGATGCGAAACACTCAGTATATAAACAACTCTGGCAATCTCCGGATCCTGATCCTGCTACTGATAACCATCTGCTGTCACGGAGGTAGTACAGCACTGCTGTCAAGGTCCGAATGTTGTCGGGAGTAATGCTCGAAGAGAAACATAAGAGGTCCGAGGTAACTCCAGACATGGAGCAAACTCCAAAATCTTTGGAGGGTCCGGAGGTGCACGGACCTGGCTCTAAGTGTGGAAAGGAGAGAGAGAAGGAGAGAGAGAAGAAAGAAAAGAATAGGGGCCTTGGTCGTCTTCACAACAATTGGTATGTTGTTTTCCCTCAAAAGCAAGACAAAAAGGGTGAGCATCTGTTGAAACACTATTTTGCTAAATTACAAATTACATTAAATAATCTGTGTTGTGTCAAATCATGTTCAAGATGATACATACTTGAGGACCACATCTGTTGCAGTGAGAAAAGTGAACATGCTAGAAAGACACCCTATCTAATAACTCTCTTTCCCCTTTAGAACTTTAGCTTCATCCAAGCATACACTAATAGATATGGAGAGTGAGGCTCTTATGGTAGCTGGCATATCTGTGCAAAAAAGATGCTAAGGACCTGCCATCAGCATTGTTTAGCCAAAGTGCTCTAAGACTTTGTTGCTAATTTCCAAGGCTACTAATCAATACCAGTGAATTATTTATGTAAACCTGAAAGAACCTCTGGTGAAATATATCCAGATATTATTCTGGCACATTGCAGCTCTGAGCATAGAAATCATTGTTTAATAATAATAAAATGTCCAATAAACTGAACTCCTTCACCTTTTGATGTCAGCTGGTGCTCAAGGTCTGTGACAGCCACCTTTGCCAAGATGTCTGTTGGATAAGGTACATTCAAGTTTTTAAAGGTCCTTGGGATCAAAATCTGTGTTGATTACTACCACTGACATAGCAGTAGCAAATAGCAGGGGAGAGATGATAATGAAAGAAGACTGGTTTGCAGAACATGCCTGAGATTAGAAATTATTTTCATCCTTAGATTCCTCAGAGTCAGATAAAAGATTGGGCCTTTACATAAGGGCCAGCCCCTGTGGGACTAGAATGTCTACTCCTCTGTGAAACCATCATTATTAATATTACACAGATATTGAATAATAGTGATAATTACTCACTTGGTTTTGAGCCTCTACAAAACACTATCACTTTTTGTAAAGTTTGCACAGCTTACCTGTTCATTATCCAGGGCAATTACAAGGTAGTACTTTTATTATAACAAAGTACTGAATGGAATTATGAAGATTTAGTATATCTACCATTAATATACAACAAACCAGACAAGAGATTATCACTTACCTTTATTGTGTTCTGCTTTCTTGGGACATACAAAAGTCAGATCAGCAGAAAATGCTAGATTTTTATGACTGGCATAGATGTCTTTAACCACACCTTTACCAGCAGTTAGAAGAAGCATATATACAGAGTCTGCCTTTGCTAGTAGAGCATAGTGCTTGCTCTCTACATACCAGTTTTGATGTTGATTTTGTTTTTATTATGGTCATGTGTGTGGCTTGACTGTTCCTATCATGAAAACTATAAGAATTCAGTTATGTCTTCAGAACATAAAATAGTGAAAACACATTACTGGTGGCAAGTGAAGGTAAACTGAGTTTTTTGAATCATCTCAGCAAACATTAAAACAACTGTAGACTCCTGGAGCTGAAGACAAATTCATGGCCATAGACTATATCTGCTGGTGCAGGAGTAAAATAAGCTGCAGTACTCCAAGCCCTTGTATTATCTTCTGTAACTGAAGTGGGCTGGTCCAAAAGGCCCAAAGTGGTGGCAATGACAGCATGAGTATATTGCATGTCTCTCTGTCATGTATGGTTTAGCATGGCAGGCAAATTCACACCATTGCACTTGCTACAGGCCCTCCATAAGAAAGCACCATGTTTTTTGTACTACATGGAGGGTCAGAAGGACAAGCTTACATTTTTCATTGTCAAAAAGGATGTGGGATATATTGGTCATGGTAGTTCAGATGAGGGATCAAATACACTGGTTGGTGTTTTGAATGGTTTCATGCAAGAGGCTGCTTCATGTTTGTACAGAATGTGTGGGGTCCCTGTCTGCAAAACCAGTAAGACTAGGCCAGTTGCTGTATTGGATATCCAACAAGCTTGTCATTCAGCTATTTTCTGCATATGCAATGCAGAAAATAGCTGAGCAATGATAGCACATCTCAGACACTTATATCATGTTGATGCATTTCAAGTTTCCACAGCCCTCTTTCTCTTGTGTCTCTCCCCTTTTTTCCTTGTACCTTGTACCTTGTCCATTGATCCCCTCACCTGTTCACCCCCTCAATGCCTTGTCATCTCACATCACCTATTTTTTTTGGTCCATGGGCTGAATTAAGTTGTGGTAATTAACATTACATAGGTATTACTTGTTTCTAGTGTTGCTATTTTTGCCACATGAGTGTACTCTTGACTCTTGTTTGTGTACACAGCATGCTCATTCTATTGTCACCTACTGGTTACCCCTAGAGGCAGCAACATGTCCACAACAATGCTGAGTGAGACACTGAGTGTGCATAGTGGCCACTCAACTAAGAGTCTGCACCTTGTACTCAGCCTGCACAGTACCAAGATTAATGTCCCCTACTACCACCATTACCTCCTTATTACCTGTGTCTAGTGCTCAGGGCTTGAATGTCCCTGAACAAATGTATTTGCCTGTTCCTATGTTACATTGACACAATGTCTGCATGTCTGGTTCTTGGTGAGAATGGCAAGACACCAGATTCAAACATACTTGGACACTGACATATGCATTTCCATGCAGTGATTGTCATTTCAGCACCATCCTAGCTTATTGATATGTGAGCAACCTGATGGATAGTATTCATCTTGAATGCACCAGATCAAAGGTGTTTGGAGAGGTGATTCATCAAATTACTTGCTTTTCTTCTCAAAAACCTCAGAGGTGGTTGCATCCATGATTGCTGTTGGGAATTCTTGCTATGACCACATCAGCAATCCTGTTGATGACTTTGTTGTTGAATGGACTTGTTCCAGACTTAATAGATACATGACTCATGGTAGTTTAGTCATTACACACAGTGCATCAGTCAGCATACACTTACTCATACTACATTTAATTATATCCAACCAATAGTGTTCATCACTCACCTCTGTCACATACATTACAGTCACGTCACTCTCTAGTATATAAACCTGTAATGTAGTGTTCTCTCAATCTAAGTTTTTCTCTCCTGAACAACTACCATCACTATTAGCTTTACCAAGCCAAACAGCCTCTAAGCAAACCCAACAGGTGAGTATGGATGCCCAATGCGTGCCCTGATGTGCAGCTTCCTTCCCATATGTTATGAGCTCCATGGGGCATGAACCACTGCTTAGCATTCAGACACTGCAGGGTCCACTGAGCTACAGCTTGGCATACACACCACTGGTTGAAAGTCATAACAGGCCAGGGGGCTGCCGGACTGGCGCAATATGCTGCCAGGTTGGTTTGTCCCACATCTCACCTGGTTGGTTGTATTGTGCATTCACACACTGATGACTGTGTCCAACAAATATGTCTCCAAATACTCAAGTCAACAACACCTTTCTGTGACCAGCATTTTTTTCTGATTTGCATGTTGAAGAGTGGGCTTTGTCCATGCTCTACTACTGCCACTCTGAGGGCTGTGGTATTGCTCTGGAACCAAAGCTGGTGCTCCTTGCTACAGGCTCCGACAAGGCAAAAGCCAACAATGTCAAGGAGCGCAAGGAGTGGGATGCCAAGGACCTCCAAGCAAGGGAGAAAATTGACACAAGGTCAATCTTTTCATCTGGTCCAAGGTTGAGGAAGCAGGCAAGACTACTGCCCACAACATCCTCGACTACCTCAAAGGCAAGTACAGTGTCAAGAAGTGTGGTGTCACCAAAGATTTTATTGAGATGGGAAAAATGCTCCACACCAGCTTGCCCAGCATGGGCTTGCCTCACTACTTGCTCAACACATTCTACAAAACCACCCAACACCTCAATCAGCTCTGTTGCTTTGAGGTGGCCATCCCCACAGGTGCCAGAACCTATAAATTGGACATCCTCTGCAACCAGCAGCTTGTGCTCATTCTCCTGTGTATACTCCCCAACTCATATTGCAGTGTCCAGGAGTGTTTCAACAATGAGGTCAGCAAGGTCAAGGATCTTTCCCTTGTTAACCTCTACAATGCAATCTTGCATCATCAGGTGCAACTCGCCAACATGCACAAGGGTCCAGGACTATTGTCCAAGGCCCAGGAGAAGCAGCATGACCCAGAAAAACACCCTTTCCAGGGGCCAGTTGCCTCTACACAACCTACACAGGGGGTAAGCCAAAAGGCAAACTCCAGTGATCTCAGCAGCAGCAGCAAGTGGGCCCTTCAGGGCAGCAGCTGCCATGGCAGGGGAAACCCAAGGGTCAGAAACAGGGTCAGAAGAAACATGGCAGTTGTAACTATGACCGGTCTGGCAAGTGCAACATGCATGCTGTCAATGGTGCTGTGCATTTTGCACAGTTTGCTGACTGCTATGCTCTTGTAAATGAGCAAAAGTACTTCCCTGCTCCCCACAACCTGCCACTGCTGCTTCTGCTTACAAAATTAGCCCAGGATCTGCACCTCCTTCCTAATCAGTCAGGGCAGCATTTCCAGGAAACTGACATGCCAAACACTTCCAACATCTCAAGTGCTTGATCACACATGAGATGTGGCCCACCAATCAGGTGCAATACACCCACTTGTCATGGATGTTCAAACAGGGGTAAGTATGAGACACTCAAAAAGTGTCTGAGAGAGGTATTTCCTTTCACAGGATTTATGCTTTACAAGCAGGCCCTGACCAATGACTCTACAGAAACCATTGATGGAGATTGCCAAGATGGCGGAAGGCAGTCTGACTCTAACCATTTGGCAGGTACAGGAGCCTCTGACTCCTCAACCTCCTCACTGAGACTTTCAGATAAGGCAAGCAGAAATGAGAGCACACAAACACAACCATCACTTATAACAGACAGGTTGGGCTCCTGCAGCCTCAGCAGCTGACTGGGGAATCAATGGGTCCAAAATTCTGCACCAGTCATCTCATCCAACAACTCCGAGTTAGACAACTCACTTGTCAACCATTTTTCAGACGGCACAGAGTTTCTCTCCAGGCCTGTCCACCTCCGTGGTGAGCTACCACACAGCCCCATGGAACCAGACCTTCTTTGGACTTCCTCCAACTAACAAAGATCCAAGCAAGCCAGAGCAACCAGCTCAGTCTGTGGCACCCACACCTCCCTTGTTGAGCGAGTCAACACTCATTCATGAGGATATACCAAACCTTCAGTTTCTGTGCAACATCTGCCTGGAAGTGTTCTGTTGATGCCCCCAGCTACACATACTACTTTCCTTTGGTATGCAAATAAGCTGGAGAGAGATACTGGAGCTGCAAAAAATTGAAGGGATGAGTCTTTGCCACCCAAGAATATCAGCTCAATTCAGGATGAATGAGCAACTCTTGGAAAGCGAAGGTGCAATAGGAGTGCCAGCAGAGATCATGGAGGCAAGCACAAGAAAACAAGAGGAATGCACGAGGGAGATCACCAAGGTGCCCCAACACAGTGCCTTTGAGGAACTCCTAGCGGATCCCAAAGGACTGCATTGTCTCCATTCGATGCAGATACTCTGGATGGGAAACTCTTCTAACTGGATTGTGTGGTGGCCTTGTCAAGTCCCGCACACAAAAGGTCTGTATCACTTGGATCTGATCCATTCAGCATCAGCCCCCTCATTGAGGGTTATGGGTTGTGAGCACTGACTCCTGAGAGTGGGGGGCCTTTTGATCAACCATTGGAGGTATACCTGGCCAGGACTGGATTCAACGATGACGGCGGGTGGGACAATGCATATGGCGGAGTAGAGGACTCACTCCTCCAGGCATACAAGGCAGGCAAGCTATACTTGGACAAATCATACATCCCATTCCCCTTGAATGAAACAAACACATACACTGATAGTCACCCAATAAAACTGTACAAAGTACATAGTGTACTTGTAACATCTAGAGTAGCATTGAACAATAGACTTATTTGCTGAGCGGCAACATCATTTTCTTGCATTTGCACTAAATGTAAGGGGAAAAGAAGTGTCAAGGATATATCAGCCTACTGGCTGCTTGACTCTGGAGCAATGGATCACTATACATCTGATCAAAATGACTTCATCAAGATCCAAAAGCTTACCAAAAAGCAGCAGCTCCCAGTTAAAACTGTGACCAGTATGATGCACATCACACACAAAGGGACATGTATGATAAAACACACTGATTCACAAGGTGTCCAGGTGGTTAGTTGCCTCTATCCATTTATCTGATGCTGGAGCTTAACCAGCAATTATTATTGCTGGGGTCATTTTTGAAAGATGGACTGTCTGTATCAGGCAGCACAAAGACTGTCCAAATCATCTCCGCTGACAGCACAGAACAACACTGTTGCACACAGGGTAACACTAGCCCTGAGGACACACTTTTTGGGCTCAGAGTGATCATGCAAAGCATTGCCAATGCTCAACTTCATTCAGTCTATCACATTGATTACAACATTGCCCATCTTTATTTTGCACATCCATCACCAGAGGTATTGTCCAAAATGAGGAAACACATCACTGGTTTTTCACTGGACACAGAGCTGTTGAGTAAACCTGTATCTCCATTGTGTAAGGGATGTACAGAAGGAAAAATGCCCAACAGGGTGTTCTCCAAGAACTCAGAGCACGTAGGAGCTTTCTTCAATCTAGTTCATTCTGACATAAAGTCCTACCTGATCAATTTGTATCACAAACACAAATACACACTTGTCCTGATGGACAATTATTCTTCATATGCATGGGTCTTCTTGATCCAGCTGAAATCAAAAGTCATTGATTGCGTAAAGCATTGGCTTGAGATGATGAAAAACTAGTATAAAGTTATGCCAAAAACCTGGATGTCTGACTCAGGGGAAGAATACATGTCCAAAGTGTTCTATGACTTACAAGCCAGCAAAGCCATCACTGATATGCAGTCAGTACCACATGTGCCCCAGCAGAACGGTCGTGCAGAATGTCTCATCTGCACACTTTCAGATAAGGCACTTGCTATGTTAAAACAAGCATGTCTACCAAAATCCTGGTGGAACTTGCTGTCATGCATGCCATGTCTTCATTGTTGACAAGTAGTACTGCAAGGACAAACTTGAGTCCAAATCTGAATTGATGATGTACATTGAGAACACAGATGGTGGGCATGGATGAAAATTCATGCAGTGCAATAACTTCACCTTTATTGCTACCCACACCATGTTTGATGAACTTATGTTTCCTCAATGTGTAGAACAACTGATCTCTCAAGCAATGCAGATAAGCATACCCACTGCTGAGGATCTCATGCACAAAAACCCTCATGTCTTGGATGATTGGGACCCAGTCCCAACAATTCCAGGAATGAATTTCCTGAAGAACTGTTAAAACAGTTCCCCTTCAAAATATAAACCTTCTAATAAGACACTGGACTATAATGTCAATGGTTATCAATCAGAAGAGAGACCAAGCAGTTCACAGGCACCACCACCCAGGCAAAGAGCACAACCCATAGTGCCAGCCGCTCCAGTGCAGCCTCAGGCACCGTTTCAGGTGGTACTGAGGAGATAGGGTAGACAGTGGTTTCCTACTTGTCAGGAAAACAATTTCATAGCTGGTGATACACCATTCCAGCAAGCACAGGAGTTGGACCAACAGATTGGCTCCAATTGTTGATAATCTGCCCAAGTTAGGGGCGGTAGACACAGAGGCCAACCACAACCATTACGTGGACATGCATATACACTAAGCTCTCAGCCACCTTTGGCATCTCAGCCCGGTGCAACTGCTGAGTAGCTTGGTTCACAAGATGCATGGCATAAGGGGGTCTGTCACCCCTCCATGCCACAAGTATGAGAATGAGACTATGTTCACCCATGAGCCCCTAACATTACTGGGCATGGATGAAGCCAAAGCAGGCTGAGAAGGGGGATAATCTGTGTCATATACCTCACTTATGGCAATGGCTATTCCTAGCAACTCCGTTCACAAATAGAGATATCAGGAGTTCAAGTGTTTACCACCAGAACAACAAGCTTAGTGGGATGTCACTCGCAGCAACAAGATGGAGGCTCTTGTCAAATGACATGTGTTTGAGATAACTACCTTGCCCAAAAGACATAAATTGGTGGGTTGCAGATGGGTCCATGATGTAAAGTCAGATGGACGTAAAAAGGTACACATAGTGGCCAAAGGCTTCTTGCAGATTGAGGGAATTGACTATGAGGAGGTCTTTGCACCAGTCATCTGATTTGAGACTGTTCACCTCATGCTAGCACTCACAGCACTAGAAAACTGGCACATCACAGCTCTTGATGTTTGAAATGCATACTTCTATAGCAAATTGGAAGAAGAGATCTACATGCAACCGCCGCCAGGCTATGAATTGCCCCCTGGCCAAGTATATTGGCTCTACAAGGCCTTATATGGCCTTAAACAGGCTGGATGTCAATGGTGGAAAATCCTCCAAGACTCCATGAAAGAGCTGGGCTTTGAGTGATTGCAAAGCAACACTGGAGCCTATGTATACCATCATTCCAAGATTCATTGCATAGTTATTGTCTACATAGACAATGGCCTTTTCTGCAGCAAAGACAGAGTGCTGGTGGAGCAGCTCAAGGCCAAGTTCATGATGAAGTGGGAATGTAGAGACCTGGGAGAGGTCAGTGAGTTTCTTTGTATGAAGATTCAGTGTAAAGCCTCAAAGGTCATCCTCGACCAACAAGACTACCTGCATAAGGTGTTTGAGCGCTGCAAAATGCTGGGCTGTCATCTGGTCACAACTCCACTCTCTGAGGGTTACAACCCTACTTCTAACACTGGTGTTGACAATCCAGGGCACACCAAGCACTACCGCCAGATCATTGGATCACTGTTGTATTTGATGCTCAGAATGTGACCTGACATCTGCTTTGCTGTAAATCAACTTGCGCAGTTCAATCAGAACTCTTTGGCAGACCACTTGAATCACGCCCTCCATATCTGCAGGTATTTGAAGGGTATGCAAAAGTATTCTCTGGTTTACAATAGTGTCACTGGTGAAGGACTACAGGTGTATGCTAATGCCAGCCATGCAGATGACAAAGTCATGCATGTATCCACATCTGGCTACTTCTATAAGCTAGCAAGTGAAGCCGTCACATGGACATCTCACAAGCAAAGAGTGCCATTGGCAGCACAGTCAAAGCTGAATACATAACCATGACAGGCTACACCTTACAGGGCAAATAGATCCACAACATGTTCTCAGAGATGGGTTATGCAATAACGCAACCTACTCTCATCAGCAATGACAAGCAGGGTGCGGTTAACAATACAAACAACCCCATTACCAGTCAATGTACCAAGCACATTGATACTGCCTTCCACATTACATGCCAATATGTCAAAGGATGATGATTCAAGGTCAAATGGTTGAAAGGGAAAGATAACCCTGATGATTTTCTAATAAAGAACTTGGGCTGCATCAAGCTTGAAAAGTTTAGGCCCTATTACAGCCTAGTCTTTGATGATGCCAAGTCCTCTATTATCTAGCATGCTACCATGCACTATTCAAGGGGGAGTGTTGAACAGACTTGTTCTGAACTTGATAGATACATGACTCATAGTAGTTTATTCATTGCACACTGTGCATCAGTTAGCATTTGCTTACTTGTACCACATCTTATTATATCCAACCAATTGTGTTAATCACTCACCTCTGTCACATATGTTGGAGTCATGTCACTCTCTAGTATATAAACCTGTAATGTAGTGTTCTCTCAATCTAAGTTTTTCTCTCCTGAACAACTACCATCACTATCAGTTTTACCAAGCTAAACAGCCTCTAAGCAAACCCAGCAGGTGAGTGTGGATGCCCAATGTATGCCCTGATGCACAGCTTCCTTCCCATATTTGTCAGTAAATGCTGGAGAGGTTTTGGCTACTTGGTTGACTACTTATCTTTTGATTGGTGCAGAGTGGATTGTGTTTGCTGCTGTTGCAACTCTGCAATACATCCTTTTTGTGGATGTTCTGTTGGTGGCCCTTCTGTTTGCATACAAAGTATTTGCCTTTTTTGTATAAGCAATCTTGTTTGCTAGAGGATAAGCATTGGGTGACTGATGCAATGTTTTTGTCAGATAGTCAATTGATGTTATTGATATCCATTGTCCTTGAAGATGCTGTCCAGTTCAGCTTCCCTCATCCAGCTGTCAATGGTTGAAAGGTTAGGGTGTTCTAACTAGCTCATCATGGAGTTTTCCATGGATGCTGTCCTTGAACCATTCAACAGGCACTATAACTTTGTGAATGCTGTTGCAACTAGTGGCCATTCGAAAGTCTGCAATAAATTGGCTGATAGTGCCAATAGGGCCCATGCAAAGACACTGTAAGAAACTGCAATTACAACTTTGGATGTTGGTATCTTCAAAGGCCTTGAAGAATTTTTTCTTGATTTTATCAAATGTAGAGAAGGGATCATTGACAGGTTGTTGATTAATCACAATCTTTTTGGGATCATTTGTGTCCTTCAGTTTTTTGTCTCACATGATCATAGACATCTGGTCATTAAGGATTTTGCTTTTCCAAGCAAGAACATGTCCTTTGGTACATTGTCCAAGGACACTGTTGATTTTTTTTGAGTGTTGTATATTATATCATTGGCATCAAGTTAGTTCTCAACAGATGCCCACCACATTTGGGCATAGTCTTTGTTGCCATCAAACTTGCTTGGTCATCCAAGATCAGGTTCTTTGGTCCCAGACATAGTTGGTCCAGTATTTGTGTTTGGGTTGGGTGATAAACTGGTTGCTGTACCCTGGATGTTGTGGATTTTGGGTGATATTTCCTATCTTGGGGTTAAGTGGGCAACTGTATGCTTTGAGGGTTTTGGCCAAGTAGGTGCAGACCCCTAGTACACTTGGGTGTTCAGTTGGGATGAATAGATTTAAGTTTCCATTGTATTTGTAGAACTGTTGGAATGGGGGCCCTGCTGTTTCAGCTGATGGTACCACATTGAATTACTGGCAGGGTTTTGGTTTGAATTCCTTGGGAAATAGTACTGTGAAGCTGGAGGTGCTTTTTTGTAATGTGCAATAATTTCTGTACATCTTTGCATTTGTTGACTACAACTAGAACATTGTCAATGTATTATAAGACCAGCCCTTGTATATGGTGACTGGTGTCTTTCAGTTGGTTTGGTTGATTTTTGCAAAGCTCTGTTTCCAATACTTGTGGATTGCTGCAGCATGCTGTAGTTTGTAAAACTTTGGATTTGGTTTGGGTTGAGGTAGCTTAGCTATAGCCTCTGCATGGTGACTGTTGTTGTTGGGGTCGGTGATGCAGTAAACAATGCTGTTGTTGTTGTTTACCAGGTATGGCTCATTTTTTTTTTAAGATTGAAGGGGTCTGAAAAGTTTCTTATTGGTAGCCTGGGCAAGAGCTATCTTTGTGTTTGTGCATGCAGAATACTCTGGTGCAGGGAGTTTGTTGGTTTATCATTGTAGTGTTTGATGTCCGCACAGGGACAATTGTGTCAACTAGTTGTGGGGTTGGGGTTCAGTCATGTAGTACTGAGCTGATATACAAGATTCTACTCTTTTGTTGTGACCACAGTAGTAATATAACAGGAACACTCAAGTGATGCAGTACTTGGACATTGACAAGAGGGGACTCTAGTATCAGCAGCTGGGGATGATGATGCTAAGAGCTCAGCAGATTCAGAGTAGAGTCTGAAGCACAACTAGACAAAAACAGGTGTATAGCGGGGTGCCATCTAATGTCAAACCTGGAACCCTTAGGAGCTGAGTGGGATTGGGCAATGGACCCTTTTCATTCATCTCATAGAATACATGTGTATCAGACAACATGGGGTGACTAACTCTGATGAATGCAAATGAAATCATAATAATGATAATAACAGGTGTATAGTGTCAAAAGTGCCTCCTGCTAGCCCTAACTCAGACAAACAATGCATTATTTATTGCATATTTTTTGACATGGCCAGGCTTTGACCTTATCTATGACATAAGCAGGCACATGACCAAGCACATGATGGGTCTGGACCATGACATCATATGATGCAAGGATCATGCAATATGGTGTGCTTGTATTACTAAGTACTTGTATTCCTAATTAGGCAGGAGCCCTACCTTTAGTTACATGGTCTGTGTGCAGCTGCCCAGTAGTATATAAGACTGCAATTGATGACTCAGAACTC